TTTTTACAGTCTTTATTTTACAGTTAAAATATATGTTTATCAAATAAAGTTTAATGTTACAACTAATCATGGATCCCTTTAAAATGATAGCTAAAAATCAGAAAATAAAACTAAAATCAGCAAAATAGAAGCTGAAGGAAGCTGATAGTACAAAGGAGTAAAAAAAAAGCAGAACCAGAGCAAAATGTAAAAAGTTCAGTAAAGATTTATGAACATTTTGAAGGGTTTTAAAGATGTTCATGCTTCATTCATTTTCTATGAGGAAGAAAATGCCAGAAAAAGCAAAATATTTTAAAAAAGTATAAATTGCTCAAGTACCAAAAGTGATGCTGAACGTTTTGATTTGTAAATTGTTTAAACAGTACCAAAATGAGACAAAAATAATGGTGATACAAGAGCAAGCAACATGGCAAAAAATGAATACTGTTATGAAAAACCATCAAGTAAAATCAGATACTCCACAGTACTTTGTAAAGGATGGAATTGAAATTCATGATCAAAATGAAATTACAAATGGATTAAATCATTATTTTGTGAATGTTGGCCCAAGTCTTGCAGCTACACTGTTACAGGTTTGTGTTAATAGTTTATTTCTTTATGAAACTGACGAAGAAGAAATAACAAATATTGTAAAGAATCTTGCAGACAACAGATCAAAAGACTGGGTTGACATGGACATGATGTTTGTAAAACACATAATGAATTCTGTGATTGAACCGTTTACATACATCTGTAATTTATCATTTTCAACTGGTATATTTCCAAACAACATGAAAATAGCAAAGTTATTAATTCCTCTTTTTAAAAATGGTGAAAACCCCTGTTACCACAATTTTCAAAGATTTTAGAGAAACAATTTGTGATTAGATTGGACAAATTTATTGATAAGCAGAATATATTAAATAACAGTCAGTATGAGTTTAGACCAAAAAATTCCACATCGATGGCTCTCATTGAATTAATGGAACACATAACAACTGCTGTTGATCAAAAACAGTACTGTGTCAGTATTTTTGTTGATTTAGAGAAAGCATTTGATACTATTAATCACAGTATACTTTTTGAAAAACTAAATAAATATGGTATTAGAGGACCTGCATTACAGTGGGTATCTAGTTATTTGGAAGATAGAAAACAATTTGTAGAAATAAATAATGTAAGATCAGAGTTTTGTAACATCTCATGTGGAGTGCCGCAGGGTTCCATTCTTGGACCTAAGTTATTTGTTTTGTATGTGAAAGATTTGGTCAATGTGTCGGGACTTTTTGGATGTGTTCTATTTGCTGATGATACAACATTCTTCTGTTCAGGTAAAGATATAGAACAAATGTTGGACATGATACAGACAGAATTTGTAAAAATACAAAGTTGGTTTCAACTTAATAAATTTTCATTAAACTTGGACAAAACAAATTATATGATTTTCAATAACAATAAGAGAACTATAGATGTTTAATTTAAAACCGATGATGTAGATCTGTAGAGTCAGTGAAGTGAAGTTTCTAGGTGTCATTATTGATAAAAACTGACATGGAAAAATCATATAAATGGTTTAAGAACAAAAATATCCAAATCAATTGGAGTTCTGTACAAAGTAAGAGAACTGTTCAATGATAATCCTGTTTATGTTGTATAACGCTATAATTGTTCCATATTTAATTTACTGTATTGAAGTCTGGGGTAAAGCTTGTAAAACTATCACAAATCCTATTTTTATTTTACAGAAAAGAGCTATAAGAGTTATTATTAGAAAAAATTACAGCCATCCATCGAATATATTTTTTTATGATTTGAAATTATTAAAATTCTATGATTTGGTCGATTAT